AACATAGTATCATACAAACACTAATTCCCTACCTAGTATCAATGCCAGACCTATATGTTCATAGGTAAGCTACAGTAACTACTAACTGCATTACTGCATGATACTGATGTCTTGTCGTGCCTGCGTAGTACAGCTGTCTGCACTCTCTGAAAACTGTCAGTGTAGGTATAAACTGGGTTTCGGGGATCTGGGTAACTTAAGCCCACAATTTTTGGACATTATAGTATTAATAATACTAATATAATAATGTCTCAATTTATGGCAGCTGCCTGTATTTGAAAGAGTAGTATCAGCCACTGCTTACAGCTAACCATAGGTGATAAAATTATGGGCAGAGGCTTTGCTGTGAGGGTAGTTATCTAAAAACTGTAATGTTAGCCTACATATGATTAAAATGATGGGAACAGACTTTGCAGTGAGGCATCTATCCCTAACGTTACCTGTGGTAAAATGATGGGAACAGACTTTGCAGTGAGGCATCTATCCCTAACGTTACCTGTGGTAAAATGATGGGAACAGACTTTGCAGTGAGGCATCTATCCCTAACGTTACCTGTGGTAAAATGACGGGAACAGACTTTGCAGTGAGGCATCTATCCCTAACGTTACCTGTGGTAAAATGACGGGAACAGACTTTGCAGTGAGGCATCTATCCCTAACGTTACCTGTGGTAAAATGACGGGAACAGACTTTGCAGTGAGGCATCTATCCCTAACGTTACCTGTGGTAAAATGACGGGAACAGACTTTGCAGTGAGGCATCTATCCCTAACGTTACCTGTGGTAAAATGACGGGAACAGACTTTGCAGTGAGGCATCTATCCCTAACGTTACCTGTGGTAAAATGACGGGAACAGACTTTGCAGTGAGGCATCTATCCCTAACGTTACCTGTGGTAAAATGACGGGAACAGACTTTGCAGTGAGGCATCTATCCCTAACGTTACCTGTGGTAAAATGACGGGAACAGACTTTGCAGTGAGGCATCTATCCCTAACGTTACCTGTGGTAAAATGACGGGAACAGACTTTGCAGTGAGGCATCTATCCCTAACGTTACCTGTGGTAAAATGACGGGAACAGACTTTGCAGTGAGGCATCTATCCCTAACGTTACCTGTGGTAAAATGACGGGAACAGACTTTGCAGTGAGGCATCTATCCCTAACGTTACCTGTGGTAAAATGACGGGAACAGACTTTGCAGTGAGGCATCTATCCCTAACGTTACCTGTGGTAAAATGACGGGAACAGACTTTTCAGTGAGGCATCTATCCCTAACGTTACCTGTGGTAAAATGACGGGAACAGACTTTGCAGTGAGGCATCTATCCCTAACGTTACCTGTGGTAAAATGACGGGAACAGACTTTGCAGTGAGGCATCTATCCCTAACGTTACCTGTGGTAAAATGACGGGAACAGACTTTGCAGTGAGGCATCTATCCCTAACGTTACCTGTGGTAAAATGACGGGAACAGACTTTGCAGTGAGGCATCTATCCCTAACGTTACCTGTGGTAAAATGTTGTTCCTTTCACGTTGCTCACCTCTGGGGCAACTAGGGGTTACGTGTCTTGCTCAGAGACACATTGGCGGGTATCACAGTGGGTAGTTGAACCCGAATCTCTCACACCAAAGGCATGCGTCTTATCCACTGTTCCATCACGACACCCGATTTACTATTTGATTAAGGACTTAGGCTACATTCACACTACTACGTTTTTGTTTAAAGACTGATTTTTAATACAAAAACCACACCAGTGTTTTAGCTGCTTATCAGAACCGATATCCATCTATATTAAAATGACTGAAAGCTCACATCAAGTGGCTGTTTATGTACACTGGGCATGCGCGTGCCGGTGTAAACAGGAAGCAGATTGTCCACTCCACTTTTGCAAAAAATTTGTCGAAAGAATTCCATTTTATTTATATAGCGCCAAATCACAACAACAGTTAACTCTGAGCACTTTTCATAAAAGAGCAGGTCTAGACCGTACTCTGTGATGCTATTTACAGAAGCCCAACAATTCCTACCAAGAGCAGCACTAGGCGACAGAGGCAAGGAAAAACTTCCTTTTAAGAGGCAGAAACCTCGAAGAACCATGGCTCAGGTAACATGGGAGTATAAAGCATTTTTGTCTGTGGAAAAGAGACTGGGAGTTGTCACAAAGTAAATATGGCGACATGCACAGTACATTGTATAATTGTTATCTGCACTTTACAAAATATTTATCTATGAAGGTTCTCAGTCATCCAGGTCATAGTTATCCAACGAAGGTTAAAATCAAGGGCAACTGGACTTGGTTGAAGATACTGGAAGACGTTTCGTCCCTCATCCAAAGGACTTCTTCAGTTCTGACTGACTGGCAGGGAAACTCAGCTATTTAACCTCAGTGGGGTCGTTGGCCCGGGTCATCGATACCGCTGGTTCGTTAGTGTTCCTGGTTGCTGTGACGACAGTCGTTACAGTCGTTGAGACTACCTGTGGCCAAGTCTGAACAACCATCGTTGGTATCTTCACCTGAGGCCAATAGGTTACGTTTGTTGACTTTCCTGGGAAGTGATGAAAGGACAGCATTGTAAGTGGGGGATAAGTGGTGGCGTAGACCCCCTCCCCTGTTCAATGACGGCTTCTCAACCCTGGTGCAGATGGCTTCCTTGACACCTCTTTCAAACCATCCATCTTCTCTGTCTAAAATGTGCACCTGGTGGTCCTCAAACGAGTGTCCTCTGTCCTTCAGATGTAAGTAGACTGCAGAGTCTTGACCTGAGGAGTTGGCCCTTCTGTGTTGAGCCATGCGTTTGTGTAGTGGTTGTTTAGTCTCCCCAATATACAGGTCTGTGCATTCCTCACTGCATTGGACCGCATACACTAGATTGCTTTTCTTGTGTTTGGGTGTGCGGTCTTTGGGGTGGACCAGCATCTGTCTTAGTGTGTTCTTGGGTTTAAAAAACACAGGGATGTTATGTTTGTTGAAAATCCTCTTGAGTTTCTCTGATACTCCAGACACGTATGGAATCACAATGTTGTTGCGTTTGACCTTCTTTTCCTCCTCCCCTGTAGTTTTGTTCTTCTTGGATCTTGTGGCTGTTTTCACAAAGGTCCATTTAGGGTATCCACAGGCTGTAAGTGCCCCCTTCAGGTGGTTCTGTTCCTTCTCTCTGGCTTGGGCGCTTGTTGGTATGTTTTCCGCTCTGTGGTGCAGTGTTCTCATGACCCCTAGCTTGTGCTCCAGTGGGTTGTGTGAATCGAAGAGTAGGTATTGGTCCAACAACCAGGAACACTAACGAACCAGCGGTATCGATGACCCGGGCCAACGACCCCACTGAGGTTAAATAGCTGAGTTTCCCTGCCAGTCAGTCAGAACTGAAGAAGTCCTTTGGATGAGGGATGAAACGTCTTCCAGTATCTTCAACTATGTCCAGTTGCCCTTGATTTTAACCTTCGTTGGATACAAAATATTTAATAAAAAAAAATTAGGATTCACTGTTTTAGTCTGGACGGGAGGTGCAAATGTAGCAAAAGTTCTGCGTTTTACAACGAAAATGTAGTAGTGTGGATGGGGCCTTAAAAGAATTTCTCAGGTTTGAATGGTTCATCCCAGTAGTTGGCCTTAACTCTGGGCAAGTGGGCAGTCCTATGAAGGCCATTTTAATACTCAGTGAGCCCTAGTGTTCTGCATTGATTCTGTTTATCCACTCCACTATACTGTTCAGCTTTTTCTTTTAATTTGTCATTGGACTGTGTATAATAACTAAAATATGCTACCGGCCTCTAGCTGTCTTATCAAGGTTTTGTGTAGCATTTCAATTGATGAAGGATGAGAGGAGTGTCTTTGTCTTTCTAGCAAAGGATAAAAACTGCAGAAAAAATGTAGAGTGAGAAGATCCTAGACTAGTCAAGTTGAGGTCAGGAGGACTGCTTTAGAAACAAAAAGTGTTGGTATTTTTTTAATCGCCCATACTGAACAAAGAAGTCAACGGTCTTGACAATTGCAAACAAGATGAAAAAATCCATGGCACTCTGAGTCCTAGTCCACACATTTTTCCTCCTTTGTTTTTAAAGCAAATCTCCGTCCACATGAAAAACAGCATGCCAAACCAACAGGTTGCGATATAACCTTACAGCCATGTTGGCCAATCAGAAGCCTGGAAAAAACTATTTCTGGTAGACTGCTGGCAATGGCACATCTGGGAACTGGGAATTAAATGTGTGGACTGACAGCAAAGTGGAGTTATTCCTCAATATCAAACTCAAATATAAAGTTTGCAAAATAATAATGTTAGAATGAGCATTGTGAGCAACTCTTTAACCTGGCAGGAGTTTTCAAAAAGGTTTATTTTCAGTTACATCAGACACAGTTTGCATATGGAAGAAAGGCTTAAACGCATAGAAAAAGCTATGTTTTCAAAAATACATGCTGCAGAAGATAAGAGTAGACCAGGATTAGCCAAAGTTGTGTTGCTGTGGAGTATCTGTCAATCAATGTCTCCATTGTCATTATCAGTAAATATCAAGCAATCACTGTCATTCACACCCTCCCTCATATTCCCCTGCTGATAGGTATGTGATTATAGTTTCCTTCAGATTTCAAAACGGGCATTATGTTTTCGGGTTGTCCATCCATCTGTCTGTCTCATCAACATGATATCTCAGGAACGCCTTGAGGGAATTTCTTCAAATTTGCCACACATGTCCTCTTGGACACAAGGACGAAACTGATTAGAATTTCCCACTGCAGTAAGAACTTGTACATGGGCATGCGCTCTACCAAGTGAGCTAACCGGTGCCCTTGGTGACACTTCTGAGACAAAGGTCATAGGTCATTGTGACCTTTAAAAAAGATTTTTAGCCATAATTTAAGAATGAATTGGGCATTGCTGGATTTCACACACACGTTGCCTGGGATGACACAATGAGTAAACATTATCTAGCACAGTATGGGCTTTCCTCCATCTCATCCATTCTGCTGTTAATTCTAGTTTCTTCCATCATTACTGCCTAAAGGTGGACATGTTCTCCTATGGCATGGTCCTGTATGAGCTGCTGTCTGGGCGGAGGCCATCACTGGGATACCACCAGCTTCAGATAGTGAAGAAGCTCTCCAAAGGCATCCGGCCAGTGCTAGGCAGTCCAGAAGAGGTTCAGTTCTACTGCCTCCATAGCCTGCTGACTGAATGCTGGGACACCAAGCCCGAGAAGGTGAGCCTAACTGCTTGTTCAAATAATTGTTTTGGCCTAGTTTTCCTGTTTGCTATGCTTTGATACAGCAATCATTAGTTTGCTGAACCGTAGCCCATTCTCTTTGTCAGAACTATCTAGAGATTAATATAAAGAAACCCAAGACATGATGATTTACCTTGGTCGCAACAGCAATGCTCACCCCCTAACTATGGTGTGAGGGACCAAGCTGGCAGGCATGAGGACTCCTCAAATTTCTGACCTCCAGCTATAAAAAGTACCATGGAAGGCCACTTAAAGTCAGAGTACTAAAATATGTACCCCGTCCTCCCATGGAAGCTCTCATTGTAAATGGTAAACCATTAACTAAAAGGCAACAAAATATATTTGCCTGGATTTAATTGAAATAATACATACTATCATATAGTAAAACCTGTTCTGCATGTAAATTGATGTAGAAATATTTGCCAATGTTATTGGCTAGCAGGTTACTGTAAAAATCTCTGAAAGTCCTCTTCTCTGCACAAAAGGTATTCAAGAATAAATTAAAAATGCCAAAAAAAACATTAGGAAAACATGAGGAAATATAGCCTACAGGGATTACCAACTGATGTAGCTAGATGGTTACACAATTAACGAGTTACGTTTAATTATATCACTTTTAATTACCACAAAGGGCAGTGCTGAGGGTTCAATTGTGTGTACACTTGACAAAGAAACGGTCACAATCAGAATATGTGTCAAGTAGGGATGCACTGAATGTTCGGCCACCAAAAGTAATCTGCCGAAAATAGTAAAAATAGCACTTTCGGTGGGCAGCCTAATAAGTCAAAAGACAGAAGAAATTTTACTGAACAATTACGTTGACATGTCAGCAATTGTGGACGCAATAATCGCTGTTTGCAGACACTGTTGTGCTGAATTGTCTCCTAGCACATCCACACCATCTGTGGCTGACTTAGAAAAGACAACAAACGATCTGACCTGCTTTCATTGTTTCTGTCAATTGTTTCTGAGAAGACAATAAAGCTAGCCACACCTACATTTGGAGTGCACACGTATTTAAGCCTTTTATGGTAACTGAAATGGACCAGAGCGAGCTGACAGGCAGGTTAGCGACTTTATCCTGTCAGTTTGTCCCTTTACAAAGACACGTGTTGCAGTATGAGTCCTACCTGAAGAGGCTGTGAAGTCTTCATGTTGCACGATACGAGAACCACATACAACATTATTTATCAAATTGGGTCGGACTTGATGAATTTAGCGCGAGGATACACGTGACAACGTCCGGTTTTCAAAATAAGGTGTCTATACAGGATGAAAATAAGATTAATAGGATTATATTCACAGCAAGTAGAAAACATATTACATGTGTACATTAAAAGTAAACAGACACATGTAATACTTTACCAGACTTTACCTCTCAGGCCTCGGACCCACCCACCATAGACTCTTCAAATCCTGTGGGAAACACTGAGTTAAAGGCACATTTTTTAATTTTATTTTTGCAGTGGTAAAAAAAAAGGCAAAAATGTGAAGTTAATTGTTCGGTATTCGGCAATTTTTTTCATTATATTCGGTTTCGGCTTCGGACAAGGATTTTCATTTCAGTGCATCCCTATGAAGGTATTTTTGTGTCTTTTTAATGCAAGCAAAAAAGTACGTTTTGAGAGCATATTTATCGCACTGCAATCAAAAATCAAGTTTGTAATTAAAAATAAACAGGCCTTTTTTGCTATTGCTATTATGTCATATTATTTGATTACAAGTCAAAAAGTTTTCCTTGTGAGTCAGAAAGTTTTGCAAGTTAAGTTCTGCAAGTTAAATAGTTTTGCAAGTCAAAAGGTTTTCCTTGTGAGTCAAAGTTTTGCAGGTTAAACCGTTTTGCAAGTGAGAGAGTTTCGTAAGTTGAAAAGTTTTGCAAGTCAAAAATAGTTGCCATAAGACGGCTAACAGTTAGTTAATTGTTATACATCTCATTCTAAAAAAGGACACAGCAATAGACTCCGTGGCCTTGCCAACAGTAAATATAAATAATCATTAAATCATGCCATACTACATTTAAAAACATTTCTATTGAAATGAGCGACACAACGTCAACTTACCTCCATCTAGCCTGTACACGTCACAGCGCCATCTCCAGTAGAGCTGAGTTCTGGTCAAAGCCATCGAAGCGAGGGGATTGTGGGCGTGGGCGTGGCCATGCGGCCAATGCAAACCCATGATTGGTCAGTCAAACCCACCAATAGAATCTCTTATGTTGACCATTTTTGACTCGCAAAACTTTTCAACTTGCAAAACTCTCTCACTTGCAAAATGGTTTAACCTGCAAAATGTTCTGACTCGCAAAGAAAACCTTTTGACTTGCAATCAAATAATATGACATAATAGCACACAAAAAAGGCCTGTTTATTTTTTATTACAAACTTTTTGATTGCAGTGTAATAAATATCCTCTCAAAATATTTTTTCTTTTGCTTGCATTAAAAAGACACAAAAATACCTTCATACATCCCTAAGGACCAGTTATTTATCTGGTTATTATGTGTAATGTACTGAAACCTAAATATAAGGGAACACATTAAAAAATAGATACCACCATGTGCTCCTGTTGAGTGTGTGGCTGCTGGTGCAGCAAAGCGAGTCGATCTTATCAGTTATACATTTGTTTTTTACTTTGTGAGAATATTGAATTTTGGCTTGAAGTGTCAGTTATGAAAGTCTCATGAGACAAGTTTTCCCCTGACGAGAAATATTGTCACGTTTTAATCTCACAAGATTAAAACATTCCAGGTTTTTGTGACAAAGATAAATCATGTCAGAACAATTTACCTCCTTTAAAGTGACCTATAACGTGAACAATTCACTTGAAAAACAAACTGAAATAACCTGGTTGCATAAGTGTGCACACCCTCTTATAACTGGGGATGTGGCTGTGTTCAGAATTAACCAATCACATTCAAACTCAGGTTAACTAGAAGACATTACACACCTGCCATCATTTAAAGTGACTCTGATTAATCCCAAATAAAGTTCACCTATTCTAAGCATTTTGTTGACACTTTCTTTGTTGCATCTGAGAGCAAAAGCCATGGTCTGCAGAGAGCTTCCAAAGCATCACAGGGATCTCATTGTTGAAAGTTAGGAGAAGGGTACAAAAGAACTTCCAAGGCATTAGATATAACATGGAACACAGTGAAGGCAGTCATCATCAAGTGAAGAAAATATGGCACAACTGTGACATTTCTAAGAACTGGAAGTCCCTCCAAACTTGATGAAAAGACGAGAAGAAAACTGGTCAGGGAGGCTTCGAAGAGGACTACAGCAACATTTAAGGAGCTGCAGGAATTTCTGGCAAGTATATATATAAACCTTTATTTAAACAGGAAATGTCCCATTGAGACACAGTCTCTTTTACAAGGGAGTCCTGTATAGTACAAATAAAACACAATTTTTCAACCATAAGTTGATTACAATACAGATTTACACAAAGTTTACAAAGTATTTACATAGAAAAAATCCAGTGAGTTTAAAATATATAAACAAACGAAATACTAAATGTAGAGATCTACTGACCATTAATTAAAAACAAGTACATACGTCTGACAGTATGTCAAATATTCTTCTAATGTTAAACCTAGACTGGAGTTCATTCCAGGACGAAGGGCTATAGTAAGACAGACTTCTCTTTCCTGGCTGTATACTACATGTGACAACTATCTCTTGTATTCTTCATATGAATGGGGTAGGGTGGCTTACAAAGAAAAACATCCAAGCCTGGCTAAATTTTGCAAAAAAATGTATTGTCTCCCAAAAGCATGTGGGAAATTTGTTATGGTCTGATGAAACCAAGGTTGAATTCTAAAAGGTACACTATATTACCAAAAGTTTTGGGACACCTGCCTTTACATGCATATGAAAGTTAATGAGATTTATTTCTTAATCTGTAGGGTTTAATATACAGTTGGCTCACCCTTTGCAACTATAACAGCTTCAACTCTTCTGCAAAGGCTGTCCACGAGGTTTAGGAGTGTGTTCATGGGAATGTTTGACCATTCTTCTAGAAGCGCATTTGTGAGGTCAGGCACAGATGTTGGATGAGAAGGCCTGGCTCGCAGTCTCTGCTCTAATTCACCCAAAGATGTTCTATTGGGTTGGGGTCAGGACTCTGTCCAGGCCAGTCAAGTTCTCCACACCAAACTTGCTTTTTACACTTGTGCGCAGTCATGTTAGAATAGGAAGGGGCCATCCCCAAACTATTTCCACTAAGTTGGGAGCAATTTTGTCCAAAATGTCTTGGTATGCTGCATTAACAGACTTTACACTTGGCACGATGCAGTGGTACAACCACTGCTTTAGGGTCCAGTGGCGGCGTCAGTGGTGGAAAGTAGTGAAGCACAAATAGTTTGTTACTGTACTTTATGGCTGTTCCCGACTAAGGATTTACATAGTCGAATCAGAGTCGTCAAGTCCTCCCTTTAGTCGACTGATAGTCAAATCATGTGTGTTTTTGTGCACAGTGATTGCAAGCCGGGGGAGGGGGGGGGGGGGTTCACGCGGTAGCTCCGCTTTAATCTTGAGAAGCTGCAAAGCTGTAGTCTGTATTCATTTAACTTATTGAAAAACGATTAAATATTCTCGTGTGGTTCATCAACAGTGATAAATTATCCGAAAGTGCCGCCAGCTGCGGACAACTCGCCACAACACCAGTGAAGCTGGAGCTCCGTCTCTTCAGCAAGTGTTCCTCTTCTGCCACTGCACACATACACGCTACGCCTACACATGCGCACTGACGACCCAGGGTTATGGTTACAATTTTGGATTTATTCACACACTTCAAAAACATTTATTGAAAGTTTTATTCTTTTCACATGTTTATTTACAGCATTAAACGTTGAAATGTATATTGTAATAGGCTGTATATTAACTTATTGGGAGAAAACTGGTAGTTCTATGTAAAATCAGACGTTGAGCACCACCATATCGCCAAAATGGCATGATCCTTGTTTCGCAGGCTCCGCCCATCGAAGCATCGAATCTTCAACTATTTGCGGTCAGCCCTACTCTACTTAAGTAGTTTTTTTCAGTATCTGTACGAGCAAGAAACATCTGTGGGACCACAGACAGAATGTGATGGCACTCTTCATACATCATGTTAAAACAAGACAGTGAAGTTTAGTTAAAACTCTGGACTAATGCAAGATGGGAAACAGTGGATTCACATTGACTGTTAAAATGTTAAGTGAGTCTGTACAAGGGATTTTATTTTGAAAATCGACCGGATTCTCTTTGCCGTTTCTGTGTCTGACTTCCTGCTTGGCTCATCTGCTCAGTGCTGCTTGATGTGTCTTCCATCAAAAATAGACCAGCTGCCTGCGGCGCTTATGGTGTGAGCACAAGCATTGAATACAATGGCAGCGATTTGCTCTGGCAGCCGTAGTGAGTCACACACGCCTGTGTGAGTCCAGGGTGGTTAAGTCTGTCAGAGTAGTACAGGAACAGACTTCAGCCAGTATAACCACAGCTGATCCTTTGGTGATGTAAGGCTTGGATGCGACTGCTCAGCCATGGAAACCCATTCCATGAAGCATTCTATCCACTGTTCTTGAGCTAATCCGAAGGCCACACAACATTTAGAGGTCTGTAGCTATTGACTTTGCAGAAAGTTGGTGACTTCTCAGCATGCGCTGACCCTGCTCTGTACCACTTCGTTACTGGTTTTCTGTTGTTCCCAATCGCTTCCACTTTGTTATATTTTGTTATAACGCTAACAGTTGACCATGGAATATTTAGTAGTGAGTAAATTTTACAAATGGATTTATTGCACAGGTGGCAACCTATCACGGTACCACGCTTGAATTCACTGAGCTCCTGAGAGTGGCCCATTCTTACACAAATAATTGTTGCAGTCTGCATACCTAGGTGCTTGATTTTATACACCGGTGGCCATGAAAGTGATTGGAACACCTGAATTTAATGATTCGGAGGGGTGTCGCAATACTTTGGCATACTATTGGCAATGTAGTGTATGTTTGGCGCAAAAACAACACTGCATGTAGCGACTATACTTAAAAGCCAAAACAAAGTAGTTGTTAAGAGGCTGAGGTTGGGCCTTGTGGTGGTGTTTGTCCGACTCGCTGCACAAATAATTCGCGGATCTCAAAAATGTTGTCTGTAACGTTTATTGGTGAAAATATGCAACTTATATAATATAATATATGCAAAAGATATATACAAAATAAAAACTATAAACACTGCAGTGTTTAAAAAATACAGCGTCACTCACCCTCTATCCCTCCATTATGTTAACTATACAGAAATCACCACCCACATCCATGTGACTTATCAAAAAAGTGCAAAAACAAATAAGCAATCAAGTTAACCTTATATAAAATTAATTCCAAACTTGCAATAAATCAGTTCATGACTCCTACACTGCACATCACCCAAGGAACAGCATACCCACATTGAAGCATAGTGGTGGCAACATCATGCATTGGCGCTGTGTGTCTTCAGCTGTAACTGGGGCCCTGTGCAAGGTGGAGGGAATTATGAAGTTTCAAACACCAGTCAATTTTGGCACAAATCCCTCAGGCTTCCGTTAGAAAGCTGAAGATGAATTTCACTTTTCAGCTCGACAACTACCCAAAGCATACATCCAAATCCACAAAAGCATGGCTTCACCAGTAGAAGATCAACGTTTTGGTACGGCCCAGCCAGAGCCCAGACCTGAATCTAATTTAACATCTGTGGGGTGATCTGAAGAGGACTGTGCGCAGGAGATGCCCTCGCAGTCTAACAGATTTAGAGTGCTTTTGCAAAGAAGAGTGGGCAAATATTGGACAAATAGTGCCAAGTCAAGATGTGCCATGCTAATAGACTCCTGTCCAAATAGACTGACTGCTGTAATAAAATCAAAAGGTGCTTCAACAAAGTATTAGTTTAAGGGTGTGCACACTTATGCAACCAGGTTATTTTAAGTTTTGTAATTTTTTTTATTTTCACCCTAAAAGATTTCAGTTTGTTTTTCAATTCTGACATGATTTATCTTTGTCTCATTTTTTTTACAACACAAAAATCACAGTATGGCCAGGGTAGTGGCTAAGCTGGAGACCCATTAAAAGACATTCCAAAATTATACTGAAAAAACTCTCATCCTCCACCAGAAGACCAAGGTTCATTAGCCACTGCTTGGCCTTGAGTTCCAGCAAGTAAAACTGGACATGTTTCCAGGTGGAAAGCGTGCGAAGGATTATGCCCTTGTCACATGGGACGATGTGAACCTTCCATGCAATACACCATACATCCAGCTCGCTGGTAGGACAATAGTGGTTGGCGGGACATAGCATGTCTGTCTGCAGCCCTCGGCAGGACTACATGATTAGCAGGGAGAGCAGTTTAAGTACAGTGATATATGTTCTGGCATTAACAAAAAGTCAGTCAGACAGCAGCAAAGTTAGTGTGTGTGTGTGTGTGTGTGTGTGTGTGTGTGTGTGTGTGTGTGTGTGTGTGCGTGTGCGTGTGCGCGCAGAGGCCAGTGGCCATGCAGTGCGTGAGGCAGATGCAGGAGCCCAGCTTCCCCTGCCTCCAGTATGTGTTATCTTGTGACAGCCACTCGCAGCTCTTCCTGTCCCAGCAGCAGGGATACAGCGCTGTGTTCTGGAACGGAGACAAGGACGACAGGTAAGTTTCAACTATTCAGCCTGCTAATAACTGCTTTTCATTTGGCTTTAATGTAACATATTTCTCTTTTGAGTCTAAAATTTCTTGGATGTTTTCCTTTAAATACCTGTCCTGCCATGAGATAAGATCCCTGGAGGGAAATTCAGGTCTCATAGCAGCAACAGCAGTGAGAATAAAACACAGGAGAGGTACACTTAAGACCAAGAGTACAGAATCAAACCAAGATGATCAGAAAAAAATTAAAGGTCAAGTAAAACTCTGAGCAGCTGGCTCTAAATTATCTGCACTGGATCTCTGAATGAGTGAACATAAATACAGTCTGTTGGGTGGTGATGGCACAATGGATAAGATGCCTGCCTTTGGTGTGAGAGACCCGGGTTCAGTTCCCCACCATTTTGTCCCTGAGCAAGACACTTAACCCCTAGTTGCTCCAGAGGCATGTGACATGTAGCAATTGTAAGTCGCTTTGGATAAAAGCGTCAGCTAAATGAATAAATGTAAATAAATATAAACATATTTACATCATTGCATAGTCTCAGTCTATCAATAGATATTGTACATAGATGAAAATGAATGAATGAATATATGAGATGATGTGCAAGTGCACCAGAGTCCATGCAGGATTCAGTAGTTAAAGGTCCAAAGTAAGTAACAGACAGCGCATGTCTTAAAGTTCTCATGTGGGGGTCAAGCCTGATGGCTACTGGCACAAAAGAAATGCGCTTTGTGGTGTGCCGAGGAGTGATAAAGCTGTGGCTGAACGTGCCCCTCGTCTTTGGTAACTCATCATAGAGGGGATGGAAGGAGTTTTCCAGGATGGCGTCCAGCTTCCTACCCATCCTCACCTCTGCAACCACTTCCAAATTGTCCAGTTCAGCTCCAACTCCTGAGCAATCCTTCCTCACTAGCTTAGCTGACACCACCCAACATAACACTGCAAAGAAGAGGAAACTGGCTACTACAGACTGGTAAAACATGCAGCAGCCAATTGCACATGTTGGAGGACCTGTGCCTCAACTGTAGGGACAATTCCGCCACCAGCTCCTTGGTCTTTCCAATGTTGAGCTGGAGGTGATTGTTGTCACACCACCCTGTGAAGCTCTTCACCAGGACTGTGTACTCAATTTGACATACAGTACCGGTGATGGCGGGCTGCCTCCTGACAGCAGGCTTGTATGTTGGTCCAAGCCTTATTAGGTTGTGGTCTGATGCCGTGGAGCTGTATGCCTCCTTAACATTTGCATACAGCAGGTCCAGGGTCTTATTCTCTATTGTGTTACAGGTAACATACTGGGTGGAGTTCGTCAGAGTTTTGGAGACCTTGGTTAAAATCTCAGTTGACCATGATCAAGGCGCTGGGGTGCTCTGTGTGTAGTCCTGTAAAGGTGGAGTCAGTGACAATGATGTCACTTGCTTACGCTGCCACACCACTTGGCTGGACATAAACAATAACAGCAATAACATCTTCTTACCACGTTATTATTATTATTATTATTATCATTACGCTCGTTTTTTTGCAACGTAACTCGCTCCACAGTTTTTCGTCATCTCACACCGCCGTGAAGTCCACTAAACAGTCTGGTGTATTCCCAGTCAGCCATGTCTCCATAAAGCACAACATACTGGTAAACTGGTACTCTTGGTAAGCTACATAACCACTCAGTATTAGCTCAGTATTACTCAGTATAGCTACGTACACTCCTCGCCAGCCCTCCAGGTCGTTCAGTCCAGGCAACATGGTGACTTGCTGAGCGTTTATCCTCAGCCCAGCCTCTCGCTTCAGATCATTAACCACTAAGGAGGACAACTTCACAACCAAGACCTTCTCAGACAAGGACTTTTTCTCAAGACTAAAGGGGACTATAAAAGTTTCTCATTTTCACTTTGGATCAATTCAGGATCTCATGGAGTATTTGCTTGTTTTACCTTAACAAAAGCAGTTTTACACATGAATATCCCAAAATCTCGATAATCTCTGTACAATAAATGCAGCTTTTATCCCTTCATGTAGGTAGTGTTAATGGCTGCCGCATAATACTGTTGAATTCTTCCTACCCTTATCTCCTTACTGTGTCAAGACCCCATTACCGACTCCAACTGCCCTTCAATAGACCTCAGGAGTGGTTATTTCAGTGTACTGCTGTGTCTGGTGTGTAGGAACTACAGTGTGGTGAATGTGGAGAAGGGCCAGGTTGAGGTGAAGAGGATGTCCTGTCCAGGCAGCAGGATTAGCTGTCAGATGAAGATGGGTAACACTCTGTGGATGGCCACTGAGGTACACACCACCTGAAATCTTTTCTACTTGACATAACAGTGCTGGTTTATAGTTTATTTAAGAAGAAGCACCTCTTTTCTTCCAATTTAGGATTAGCAAGAATATGAGTGTTTTCAGTGTAGCTTCCCAAGAAAATTAGAGAGTTCATAGAAACATCCTAGAAAACAATTGAATTAGAATTTTTGTAATTACATATGAATATGGCAATCAGTTTTTCTATTAACTGTCAAAAAGCCAGCATAATGTATTCTTTAATGCAGCTGGCAGCTGACATCAAGACAGTGTTCCAGGACGAATTTATGTTCAAATCACATGGATGTAGTTAGGCTTAGGAATGCTCTAATGGAGTTTTCTCTAATACCATCTGGAGTTTTACACAAACTGTGTGCAAACTATTTTGCTCGTGTTTGTGTGATAGGATCAGGAAGTGTTCATCTACAGCTTGAAGGACATGTGCCCACTCAGTCAACCCCAGAAACAGTTCTCCTGTCCGGCCATCATCACCTGCCTGTTCCCTGTTCCAGCAAGAGAACCGGTCAGCTCACACACACACACAGAAACGCACACATACTGCACAATGCTGTACTTGTCTCTGTGTTGCCGTTTATCTCCACATCAGTTATGTGAGGCAGCAAAGCAAATTTTGTTGACCAGTGTTGGCCAAGTTACTCAGGAATTGTATTGAAGTAACTTATTACTCCTTAAAAAGGTGATAATACTTTTACTTTACTTATTACTGGGTTTTAAAAGTAATTGTATTACTTGTCACGTCACTATATTACTTTCATTACCCCCCCCCCCCCCCCCCCGGAATCTGGAATTGTTTATTATGTGGGTTATTGTAGGGAATTCATAGAGGACTCAAAAGCAAATAACTTTTACAAGATGGGACACAGACTTTTCAACGCAAGAGTTTTAGAGTGTAAGCTGAAAGAAAAACCTCTCTCTCTTCTTCACCTGTAAGAACCTGGCCAGAATGTTTGCTGGGATGTCTGACGGCCTGGTGGCAGTGTACAGCTTGGTGGAAGACCTTCCTCTGGAGGGGGAGACCTACCTGTGTTCACACACCCTCAACAAGACAGTGTTTGGCCTGAAGGATTCAGATCCCAGGCAGAGACCCTACCCCGTCAGGAGCATGGCACTGGTCAGCAGTGGCTCCCAGGTGGGTAGATTATCTGTCAAAAATGGAATCAGAATCCGGTTTATTGCACGGAATTTGCGTTAGTATTTTGGTGCATAAAAATAAACTTAGGAAGTGGAAAATATAAAGAACAATAAAGCAGGTTCTGCCAGTCAAGAAGCAGAAATAGAAAATTGACAATAAGATATAGATATAGAAAAAAATATACTAAAAATAAAATCAGAAAATTTAAAATATGTACATTAGGACTATTATTTAAAAGAAAGAGCTATATTGTTTCGTGCAGCACTTTCACCCCACATTTTTTGTCTTGGGTGGGATGGGTCAGCCACAATCAGGGGTCTTAGAGGTGAATAGGTCCTGGAGGGATGGCAGTTTGCCAGTCACCCTCTTGGGGGGCCAATGTTACGCTGCACTCTGCCCTTGTGCTTGTGTGGTGGAAAAAAAAAGGTGGTTAAATGCATCAAGGAAAATAAGTAATGGCTTAACAATGAGAATGGAGGTTCGATTGTGGGAAGCATTTGACTTATACGGCAGAGGAGAACTAATGAAAGTAAGACAATATTAACATTATTGGCCCTCCCTGACCACAGAATGTTTTGTTGGTCTTACTGCTTGTCGGCGGCCTGCTTTGGCCTGTTGCACGGGTCCCACACTAGCTGCCCGATCCTGGCTTTTTGCTAGGGATTCTCTGGGGTTTTCTGTGTTCTCCGTCTGGCAATTCGGCTGTTGGAGAGACCAAGTGGCTTGGTCTGACCTCGGTGAAGTTGGCTTGACGAAAAAGCTTAAAAAGGGAACTTGGTCGTTTCTGAATTAGACCAGTGTAAATTAATGGACTGATAACTTTAACAAAACAAAAGAAAGAAAGAAAATAAAACAAGTAAAGTTGCTGGAACTGAGGGACAAATCGATGTCGCGGCACTTCGCGTGTGTAGCTTCAAGCGACAAGACATCGTTGCGCTGGTCGAATTCTTAGGGCGTTGCCAGGAGAGGCACGCCGGACCCGTGCCGAAGCGTCCAGAAAGCAGAGCGGAAGAGAAGAGACCAGAAGAAAAGTCGTGTGTCGCTTTTTTTGTGGTCTGGGGCGTGGTTTCCGGTTTCCAGAGGGACTGCCTTTCTACACTTTTAATGTCTATAAAAGAAAAGAAAATCTATTTGCGTGTATTATAATCAAATATTTTCCACAATCAAACCTCAATGGTCAAACAGTTGTACCGTTCTAAGTTAAGCATTTGGTAACAGGAAAACAATTGTCAAATTATTGGTCATGATAAATGAGTAACATTTATACACTTACGGCATTTCCGACGATGGTATGTAATACTTATTTCGTCCACTTGGGGGAGCTCAGGTTACATGAGGAAAGCTTAGATTAATCCAAACAATCTTTCCTTAGGAACTGAGGAATTTAGTTATTTAGCCTTAAATTCAAGCCGGCAATTAATAGAGTATAGTATGACATTTATCATCATTTCTAAAGGAATTGTGTGAGAAAGTATTGTGAACAAGCATTGGTTACACATAAGATGAAGGAGTGTCCTTAATCTTGCTGAAAATAAAAACACTGCAAAAGTAACTTATTTAGATTGTTTTCAGCAGCAACAACAGATAGCAACAACATGGTAACATAACTACTCAAATAGAGGCAAACGTAATCAAGTAACTAAAAGATTATTTAATTAAACAGTTAATGCTTTGAGTCTTTGGAGACTGCAGTCTTTGTTTACACAAAGTTCAGGCTGTCCTGGTGTTCTGGATTTTGTCACACCTGGGTGTGACAAGGAGTATCCCTTTGATGGGGTAATGAAACACAGAGCAAGGTCAGTTGCCACGTTTACATATGTGGGGGGCAGTTTAGTTTTCCTGCCCCCCTCTAAAATGGAGTTCTGATAGGCTGTTCAGGGAAATGCTAATTGCTGGTTAATGTCCCTTTTGTCAGTTTAACAGTCAGGCACCGTGTTATCAGGCTGTAGAATCAAAGGTGCCAGTTTTACGATCAGGCTGCTCAGGAATAGCACTTAGAGAAAGTGACCTCCACCCCCATTCTGTTGGGGTCTCTTCAGCCATCTGTTGAAAGCTGATCTCCACCTCCCTGCTTCTCTCTCTCAGCAAGAGGAGAATAGTTCTGAGTAGTTCAAATTTATTTAATATAAAATGCACAAATCCACACTGTTGTCCACTACAGTGGACACGTTTATTTGCCCATATGAATTCTGTGAATAACCTTCTGATTTTATAAAAAAAAAAACATTGGGTGGAGGTAGTGGTATATTCTGAAATACATACAATATTTTAGGGAGTATATTAATTTTTAAAATATTTTTATTCTTCCAATCTGGGATACAGGCAGGGTAGTCCATCTATCAAACGATTTTGTTATTTCTTCCATCATGGGCCAGTAGTTTGCTTCGACACTCTGAGCTAATTTAGGTCTAATTCGTATTCCTAAATATGTTAGGCAATCAACCACATTGAATTGAGAGGCCTCTGTAATTGGGTTATCCCTTTCTTTTTCATTTAGTAAAGAATTGAGGACTTAGTATTTTTGATGGTATACCCTGAAATGGCACCGAATGAGTTTATTAACTGTTGTAGAGCAGGGATTGTTTTGTTAAGGTGATATATATATATATATAAAATGCCATCATCCGCATATAATGAAAGTTTATGTTCCAACTGTCCAGTTGTTATTCCCACAATTCCCATGCATCTGTAGAGCTATAGCGAATGGTTCAATCGCTAGAGTAAACAAAAGCGGGGACAAGGGGCATCCTTGATGGCATCCTCTTTTGATTACTATTGGTTCAGATATATTTTTGTTTGTTAGTATTTCTGCAGTACGATTTAAGTAATAATTGAACCCATCTTATGAATATATTTCCTTACTCAAAGCGTTCCAAGATTTTGAAAAGGGATGGCCATTCCACCTTATCAAAAGCTTTTTCATCGTCTAAAGATAGGAGGGACCTATCTGTGTCCTCTAAGTATAAGGGTGGCTGTGGCTCAGGAGTTAGAGTTGGGTAAGGTTGGCCGTTAATCAGAAGGTCGGCTCCCCCAGGCTGCATGTCGAAGTGTCCTTGGGCAAGATACTGAACCCCGAATTGCCCCTGGCGGCTGTTCCGCCGGTGAATGTGTGTGAATGTTACTTTCTTAGGCTTAGTGAATGAATGTGTGTGAATGGTGAATCTAGTGTGTAAAAGCGCTTTGAGTGGTCGAAAAGACTAGAAAGGCGCTATACAAATACGGAGCATTTACATTTCCATCATGGAATCCCTGGTGACCAAGAATTAACCCATTTTGACTATGTATTACAATGGGTAACTTTTCTTGCAACCGTGCCCGTGCTAAAACTTTGCGAAGAATTTTGAGATCAGAGTTTAGTAAACTTATTGGTCTCATATTTGTGCATCTATTATTAGTCTTTCCTGGCTTTGGTAATAATGTTATCAACGCACCTGCCATAGATTTGGGAAGACTGCCATTGTTTCCAGGAGTGGATTGAGCATTTTTTATTTCTTATTGGCAATCCGTCTGAACCTGCTGATTTTCCTGTTTTCATCCGTGTGTAAAATTTAGGAGCATGTAGTGGCGAGGGTTATGAATTGCAACCAGCTGTCCAGTCTACCACTGCCCCCTAACCTTTCAAAGAGCATATGACAGCTAGTGTGGCTGACACAGCACAAAAGGTGTCTCTTCTGAGACAGCAGAGTGTGGCTAGTCAAGAAATGAGGTTTCTTTAGGTATATCTATTAAGAAATTATATTTACTTAGTTATTCTGTAAAACCATATGTTATTGTGACTTGGCCACTGACAGAGCGACGTGCCCGCCGCCTCCGTTCGCGGGTAGTCTAGTTATGATAAAATTTAAAAATAAAAACTTAATTTAGGTAAGGTTCTGCTGGGGAACAGGCTGCACCAAAACAACAAAACGAGGCTCAGACCAGTACCGTTTATAAAACCAATGCTGAGGTGTTTATTAAAAACATAAAACAATGAACCACAAAAGCACCTCAATTAAAAGACCTAAAAATTATAAAAAGAGTTCAGTCATTTATAATAAAACTTGTAATAAAAGTCATTGGGCAAGCCTTAATCCGTCCGGTCCTCAGTAGTTAGTCTTTACGATCCCTACTTCAGTCCATCGGCCTGCCGCCTATCTTCCACTGCTCTCGATGCTCGTTCCTCCTCTCGACAGTGGTCCGCAGTAACCTAGGTGACAGGATGCTCACGGTAGTCACAGAGTTCCACACAATACCTCCCTCCACAATAGTTCCGCTTGACGCAATTATAAAAGTTTTAAAGTAACAAACAAAAAATGTGCATGCAAATAAACTACTAAATCACACGTGCAGACGAAACATAAATCAAACCCCAAAACACACACAAGCAAAACTATTGATCTTTCTGTGGCGTGACACACATGACATTAAAAAAAAGGGACTTTAGAAGTAGGACTGGGAATCACTAAGGTACTGGCTCGCTCCTCCCAATACTACAAGTTAAAATTACGACAAAAATAATGACAGCTTGTTCACTGGATACGTCAGGACAGGCAGATCGCGTGGGAGAGCTATTTACAGGGAAGGAGGGGGGAACGAATTCCGACCCCTCTTCGTGTCTCCGATGGCGTTCTTCCCCACGCACTTCCACATAGGCTGCTTCTTACTCCAGATACTCTGAGACGTCTCCTCTTGGCTCCAGGCCGCTGCATCTACCCAAAGTGTTACTCCGCAGTGCGGTAGACTCTCTTCCGAAGTCTACCTCGGTCCCTGTCTCGTCTCCGTCTACGTTGACTCTCCGTCTACCGTCGTCTGTGTGACGACCGCGTCGCTCCGGCTCCCTTCCTTTGGCGTCACTGCCGTTCTCGGTCCCTCGGCTCAATTCTGCCAGACTTCCCGCACCCACACCGGTAGCCATTCACCACTAACAAGGGGGCGTGACCATATGCAGCTCCGAATCTCTCTCTCACATACACACACACGTCACCCCGGTGACAATAACATGGAAAATGTAAGCCAAGAGTGTGTAACATTGTCACTGTTACTGCATCACAGTCCATTATAAATCACACATTAGATAAAGTTTATACAAACATTAACAAGGGAAGCATATTCATTCAGTAACAACAGTAATTCATTTATATTCCCTCGCCAAACTGCCCACCAGCAATAATATCTGGCCCGCTGCAAGATTATGGTGCATAGCGGCAATAGATCTCAGTCATGACAGCAACAGTTACCCACATAATCACTTCCTCTTGAGTGGTTTGCCTACAAAATAAAAGCACGAGAATTTTCTTTGCTGTAATGCAGTATTTGGACTGAGCTTTTATTTGAAAAATTATGAACGACATTAAAAGAGTCTGTAGCCTGCTTGACACACCCTTGATAGAGCCGTGAGAAAAACGTGGTTCCCGTAAATGTTCTCTGTCTGGAGATTCTTGGGAAATGAAAAGGCGTCCGTAGGTTGATGGATGAGGATCAAACACCGAAACAAAAACAGCACATGCCGTGATCTGGGAAACATTCGCTGCAGAATCCATTTGTTAAAGAGAGAAAAAAAAGCACGAACACTCAACCCTTGGGGGCGAGTCCTGCGCCTTACCGACTCAACTAACTGAACATTATATTACACCATCATATATTACACCACATACCACCATCCAATGGTTTAAACTATTGCTCCGATGCAAAACCTATTTGCAGACCCCTGCAGTATATTACTACTACTTCTTCTTCTTCTAATGTATATATTCAACATAGTGATAAGTGTCTGCACTGTCTGAATTCTACCAGAAGTAGAACAAAAATAACGTAGTGACGAAACGTGCTCTGTAGCGCTGTTTGTCCGTTTTCAGCTACTGTAGAAACATGACGATGCAACGTGGCAACGTCCATGGAAGGGGGTGCCCGCGGTTATGGAGCTATAAATGGCTCATTCTAAGGTAATAAAAACACAATGTTTTATTATGTAAGGTCTTTACACTCCACTGAAAACATAGTTATGGATCTTATATTGCATTTCTGTTGAGATAGATCCTCAGAAATATTACACATGGAATTTTCTTCTCAGAAACGAGTTACAGAAACACTCAAAGCGGTTTGTTGCCTTTTCTAAGAAGTCAGCCACAGATGGAGTGGATGTGCTAGGAGACAATTCAGCAGAACAGTGTCTGCAAACAGCGATTTTTGCATCTTTCTCGGACACTTTAAAATGCTTCCACACTGCCAAAATGTCATTGTAATTGTTTGTTAAAATTTTATCGATCTTTTGACTTATTAGGCCGAACACCGAAAGTGCTATTTTTACTATTTTCGGACGATTCATTTTGGTTGCCAAACATTCAGTGCATCCCTAATAAATGTATCTAATAATACATTTCATTTCAGTAAGGCAATGTTTTGTGTAATTTTCTCATTACATATCTTAATAGAAGGTAAGTTAAGGATTTATATACAGTATATCGAGCTTGTCTGTTATTCCAGTCTCGTTCTTTTCTTTCCTTTTTGTGGGGGTTATTTTATATTACTCACGCCTGCCAGCTGGCCTGGTATCGATTAAATTTTCCTAAAACACAAGATTAATAAAATAGAGTATAAAGTCATGTTTGCTAAGTACCTAAGAAGGTTGGTGAATGAAAGGACAGCATCGACTCATCAGTCAAATCCATGTCTTTGCATTATGAACATTGAGCTAACACTCCATCACACACTAATTCTGCCCCTATATGCGTTTGTCAGTTATGGCTCTCAAACGGTCCGGGTGTGCTGGTCATTGACTGTCTGAGTCTTCAGGCAGTCCGAAGGCTAGAGCTCTACAACCCACCTTCCTCCATCGTATCCATGACAACCAGCTTCAGTCTGTGGGGAGAGGAGGCAGTCTGGACCATGGATGACCACATAAACACCCTGCTGCTCTACCATGCTGCCTCCTACCAGCTCTGTGCCAAGTACTGGTGAGTAGTGGTCAAGCGCTACAGGTTTTTCAATAGCCAATGGCGATATTTAGAGAGCAGGGCAGCTGATGGCCAATATATAACGCCACTCAAAACAAAGAAAAGCCACGTATAATTCCATCATTCCATGCAGAGTACAATCTAATTATACATGTTATCTTAGCCAGTAACCTGTTGTTTTAGATGAATTTTGTATTAATTAATGAAATAGAAACATACATTGAGTTATGCTTGGCTATGAATTTCAGACCAGAGGTAAAATTACTATTTCTGTCAAGGGAATCTGACAAAAAAGCATATTACTTTTTAGTAAAAGGCCTATCTCTGTAGGGATCATGTTGTCAGACACAATCTGAGCCTATCAGTTGTGTCTTCCTGGAGTGTTGGGCCAAGTTTGGAAACATTCCTGATCTAGGGCTATGAGGCTCATTAAGACGCTGTGTGTGATACTGAGCTATATTCATAGATTTCAGTCACGTGACATGCACGGTGACTTGGAGGGCAAAACATCAGACCAACACCGTGACTCCCCCGTAGAGATGCCGCAAAAGCAGTCAAATTTTATTTGGATCACCTTTCAACTTAAGAAAAAGAAAGATATGAACACAAACTGCAAGTGTTGGACACTTACGATCCATATAAAGTTACAGCATCCACTGCCGCATTTCTAACGTTAGAAAACGGCAGGTCCCTGCCGCCGCTCTACTGCAATATGTTTACTTTTACCTTCTGGGGAATCCCTCACCTAACACAGCCCAGGCTTGTCTCCTCCTCGATTAGTAAATCCGAAGAACAACCATCCAGCATTTTGGCAACGAAAAAAGTAACAAACTCAAAGTAACAGTGCATCACTCGCCTATTGGTTGGCAGGCAATGGAAAAATAACGTCTTTTTTGCCCTCCAAGGGAGCGTTTTCCTTGGAATGTGATGTGAAAACTACGAATAAATAAATTTGCAATATGTACCTGTGTTAATTCAGGTTGACTAGCTAATGCTAATTAGCACGCTAGCAACATTGATATGAAAACTCCTCAGAAAAAAGCTCCTTATGCCCCAGGAGAAACACTGTTGATTTGAGCACCTGTTTTGACATCATTTCAGCTGCGGAGACAGCAATCCTCTACGGGACGTCTTTGCTGTGCAACGTCCAGCAGGGATTAGCACAGTGACAACCAATGATCTCAAGACCACCGACCAAGATGAGAAGCTGGAACGTATAAATGGAGAAGTGACATTGATCTACAGTGAGGAGGCGGGCACTCAGATCATCCAGCACCAGGATTCACTGACAGACTACTGCTCTATATCATCCAACTGCTCTCTGGAGCCGCAGGGGTCAGACTGTTCCAGCACTGCAGACCTTGGCTCATTAGCCAGCCGCAGCAGTGGGCCACTGCCTGCAGACCTGGAAGAGACTGGCAGGGAAAAGGAACAGCAGGCATCCACAAACCCCAGGTCTGATCTAGACTCTGCAGAGACAGTGAATCCCACACCGCCTGAGCTGCAAGCCTTTACTGTGTTGCCAGTGAACGGAACTCTGTGGATCCCCAGGTAGGAAATGCTGCACACCAACTGAACACAAGACAAAAACACATGAATATGATGCCATTCAAATAGGGACAGTGCAAATGAAGGTATTAAACATACCCATCTACAATAGTCATATTATAATTTTAAAAAACTTGGTTTACAACTTAGTGTACACACAGTTCATGCAACTGTATACAAGTTACAGTATACTGTACATGCAGGTAATATGAAATAAATGCTCAAATACATACTGGAAAAATAAATTACTTCAAGCAATTCAGATTGTAAACAGGAAGTCATCAGAAGGTGCATATAATCCAGTATTATCAATGATTAATAATAAGTAACCCAGAAACATTATACATTTAATGAGTTTGGGATGTGCAGGAAAGGACAAAGTCAGGTGATCTTCGTCGTTAGGGTAACAATAATTAATACAGGGTTATCGTTGCGAAACTGTTGCAGTTCAGTTTAGGCACCAAAGCTACTTGGTTACGCTTAGGAAAAAATCACTGTTTGTACGTAAGTTAAATACTGTATAAGTCAGTGACTACTGGTTTCACACGAGAATCGAACAGTGCCCTCCTGGGTGGAAGTTGACCCATTCTACCACACAGACATCGTCCCTTTACTCTACATCACTTAATTTCAACGGCACATTGAACCATTACCCTTTAAAATCTAAATCCCAAACAAAGTAGTATTCAGAATATTTCAGAGAGAGGGTTCCAGGCTGATACAGTAGGACTTAACTGTCTAGCTAACTTTATCTGATGTCAAGGAGGCGCTTCATGCTGCTACAGCAACACGCCGGGACAAACTGGCTCAATGTTTTTTACACAGAGAAAGAAATTATTTAATGTATGACATTTGCCAAATTTACAAGAATGCACAAAAAAATTTTATATTGTGGCAGACAGCATAGACTAGCTGCTCTAATGCCCGAGCCACAGCCAACCAACAAATATTTCACTGCCACTGTTAATACAAACTCATTCAATAAATAAATAGCCTACTGGTAGTTGGAAATAATAGTGATAATAATGCTGAATTTTGTGTCTTAAATGCACTGAACATGTTGTCTTTTCATATAGAATAGGTCTAGACCGCAATCATTGTAATATTATTTATGAGCAAGTACTTGGCTACACAGGCAGGGAAAACTCCCTTTAAGAAGAAACCTCGAATAAAACCTCGACAAACATTGACATGGTAGGCCTGCTATACTCACTATATTCACTACTTTACTCACTCTAAATGCAACCTGTTTTCATTCAGTGATGCCTATATCTCTAATAAAGAGTTTTATTATAACTAGGTTTAAACTCAAAAACAGCTACTGCAACCATATCCAGTGCCATAACAGACTGTTACTCTTGTGCAACAAAGAAGTCATATATATGTGTGTTGTTGTTTGGCAGGCGTGGTGGAGATGTGATGGTCATCGAAATGCAATCACAATCTGATCAGCTGATGGGGCGTGTCATCGCTGTCCTCAGTCCACCTGGATGTTTGTCTTTGGGGTGAGCTCAATTCCTGTTAAGAGCACTACTACAGCATAACTCCAAAAGTCCACTGACTCCGGCTGCGCTGCGTTATGGCTGCGACACAGTTTTGTTCCGTCCGCTGGAAGCGTCTCAAAAGTGTTTCAGCAGCAGAACATGCAGCCTGCCCCACGTTATTGACTTGTTGTTAATTTGTCCTTTTTTGTGTTTCTACTACCTTTCATCTGCACAGCTGCATATCCCACAGGGAACATTTCAAAATCAGATCATTTTGCCTGCCTGATTTCGCTGACATGTTCAGATTTTGTTGATTTGGTAATCAGTGCTTGCTTTTTGTGCTTCTACTATGATTAAGTAGCTACATAGTTAACAGAGGTGGAAAGAGTACAAAATATTCTAATTAAGAAAAATTATTATTACTTTGATGAAATTTTTTAACTTAAGTACAAGTAAAATTACCAGTATAAAAATCTACTCAAGTAAAAGTAAAAAGTAGCTCATTTAAAATTTACTCAGAGTAAAAGTTACTTAATTATATTGATTTATATCTTATTTATACATAGGCCTGTTAATTAAATTGCAGTCTTTTGCGATTTTATAAGGGAACAAAGCCATATCGTGCTTTCAATTTTAGTTTGTTTGACAGATACTTTGCCAAATCAGTGGCGTAAAACAATGACATTTAATGTTGTAATGAGAAGTTGGAGAATGTTTTGCTTTATTTGGAAACTGTGGCGCAACAGATTAAACTCTGGCAGGCCACACTGGACTGGGAAACACTGGACTGTATATGAAGTCATATCCCTATTTACATTCAAACCGGATGTAATTTTAATGGGACAACATAAGTTTTAGTGTAATAAGCCTAAATAACTAGTTACTAGCAAGTCGCTAATGCCAACCAACATTGCCATGCAACCAAGCTTCTCTTCTCCCTCATATCTCTCTGCTGACAAAGTTTATCAGGCAGGCAAGAATGGGAACAGGTGAGGGCAGAGGAGAGGACTGGCAGCTTGGGAGAAGTCCCAGTACACAAGAAAATGTCCCGGTATGCCAAAGAGTAAAATGTCGGGGTGCCAGTACTGCGTACTGGGGCCTTCCGGCCCACTTCAAGCACTGGACACCTGTAACGTTAGTTAGTGACTCATGGTAACAGCTGCTTTTAATAGCACAGGGCACAGAAGTCTGGAGCAGTTATTGGTATTTTCCATAATTCTGTAAGCAGTCATGATCTGACTTTATGCTGCACATAACATGAGTCTGCTAACAGCGAAAGTGAAAGGAGTTGGTGTGCAGCCTGTTGTATGCAGCTCTTTACTGAACAGCTCACTGTATCTGCTGCTTCTGACTGTTGCATTACTCACTGCAATATTTCAAACTGGTCCACTGTCAGAAAACTGTTGAAAATGACGGTTGTCTTGTCATGTAGACGTATTGTAGCGGTTTACACGACAGCGATCAGCACTGATCTCACTTAAAGACAGATTGCATTTCCTGTGAGTACTTCAAAATAAAAGTCACTTTTAACAGCTTCACTTTTAATGTGAAGCTGCAGCAGCAGGAAATGTTCAGTTTGCATTAGTAGTAACTTAATACAGCATTTTTCACAGCATAAGCTGCGTTTCAACCAAAGGAACTATACCCTGGAACTATGAACCTTTGGAGGAACTCACTGCGTTTCCACCGGAGGGACCAGGGTCTAAATGTAGTTCTGGGGTGAGACTTTATTTTACCCCCCAAAGTCCCTGTTTGTGGGGGTAGTACTTTCCTGTACTTTGGGGGGGGGGGGTGGACTTGCCTTGCAGTAGAGGCTGCTGGCTTTAACTGGAGAATGTCTGTTTTTCTACTGCTCCTTCCTTCTCCACCATTGTTTGCAAACCAATAAATCACAATCAAAAGTCAAATAGCACACGAGAGTTGTTATAACCTTCCAAACTGTCGCAATTTTATTTTTGTGTTGCTTTCTCTGTGCTGAAATTATTTCAAGAACTTCATGGTTTTATCCAGTTTGTTATTAAATTTCTAACAAACTTTATTGCGTGTCTCTTCATTATACTCCCACGGTCACACAAAGCCTATAGTTTGTCATTATATTCCAGTCAAATCTGATGTTCATGTATAAATTTTGCTCATGGATAGTGGTTACAAATAATGATGCCTGTGCATCGCTTTGTACATGGTCTTTAGACCACGGTGGAAACGCCCACAACAGTGGGCTGAAGGAACCTTTTAGTTCCTTGAAAGAGATCTGGGGACTTAAAAGTCCTCAGTACTTTTGGTCGAAAAGCGGCTTTACACTGCATGATTAAGCTGTTCACAAACAAGATGGCGCCGTCTATAGCTGCCTCGGTGTTAGGTGCACTTTGTTTTGTGTTTTGTGTCTTTTTTATAAGATTTTGCTTAACAGGAAGTGAGGCATTTTGCGCTTCCTGCATCATTTTCAATTATTTAAGCAGATATTTGAGGCCTTTAAAATGTTCAAAGAGCCACAAAACTTTGCAGCCAGATTCGAACTGGTAATGTTTAGATTTGATGTAATTTTTAAGAATCAGGGTTGCACGTTGGCTCTGTAGCACCCCCTAAAGCCTTTTTAGCAGTCACATGGCCAGGGATAGTCAAACCCTCACGCTTGTCAAAACGGTTGTTTTGTATTGGCTGAAATGGTTTGGGGGCGTGGTTGCGGAAAATTGGCTCAATAGCGCCCCCTACAAAATTTCTATAAAGCAGCCCGTGCCTTACGTTGTACCTACATGTAACCGATGTATCTTCTCGAGACTTAAAAATTAGCCTCTTGGAGCCCTACCTTAAACCCAACAGGAAGTCGGCCATTATGAATTAATTACTCCGTTGACATGCTCCATACTTTAACGAACTCTTCCTAGAGATTTAACCCGATAAACTTCAAATGTGAGTAGCACCATCTTAAGAGCCTTGCGATGTTAAATTGTGAAGCTTTTTTTGATTGCTCAAACGGCATGTCCATGGCGTGGCGTTGAATGTTCATGATGACAAAGGAAGTAGCAAGTAAATTGACTAGACATTGTCAAATCTGTTCCAAATTTCACATGTCAACCCCTTAGAGACTTGCATGTCAATATCCAGTCATAGTGACAGCGCCACCTTCTGGCACCAGGAAAGGACATGTTTCAAACTTTACCTCAAATACCTCATTTTCATTTGTATGACACATAGCACCTTAGGGACAAAAATATCCATTGTGAGACATTTAGCCTTCACATGGCTAGGGATGCTGAAAACCTCACAAAACTTGGCAGGCATGTCAGAAGGGGTGTTCTTTGTCGTCTAATATGGTTGTGAAGTGTGGTTGTGGGAAAATGGCTCAATAGCGCCCCCTACAAAATTCTAAAGAAGCAGCCCCCACCATACGTTTTATGTAGCTGTACAAAATGTGGGGGGCCGATGTGTCTTCTCTAGACTTAAAAAAAAAACCTATTGGAGCCATACCCTAAAGCCAACAGGAAATCGGCCATTTTGAATTTTTTACAAAATTTCAACCCGTTTATACCCTCCGTACTTTAACAAAGTCCTCCTGAAGCTTTTACCCGACCAATGTGTGGCTAGCACCATCTTAAGAGCCTTGCGACGTTTAATTGCAAAGCTTTTTTTGATTGATGAAACGGTGGGTCCATGTCGCGCTGAATTAATGTCTCGCCATGAAAAAGGAAGTTCATGTAAATTGACTACATATGGTCAGATCTGTCCCAAAATTCACAAGTAAACCTCTTATAGACTTACAGTATCCAGTGATAGCGCCACTTACTGGCATCTGCAAAGGACACGTTTTAAAATGTAATTCTTATGCCTCTTTCATATTTTTACCCCACTTAAGCACCTTAGCGGCCAAAAATTTCCATTATTTATGCTCCTCATAGTACGTTGACCACATCCATCTCGAAGTTCTTGTCAAATGCTCTTGCCTTGGTGAGTAATTATTCGAGAGTTATACCCTAAACCCAAATGGAAATCAGCCACTTTGATACCTCAACCAAACTTTGTGAGATATTTTCGACACATCACCTGTGTGATTTTTGCATTGAAAACTCCAGCTGACATGGCTCTCTCTGGAGCAAAAATCACACAGGTGATGTGTCCGAGTGTCGCTGCACCCGAGGAACACAAGGGGGCAAGGGCCCGCTCAACGCTGCTTGTAGCTTTTATCTATATTGTTTCCACACTTAATAGGGAAATCGCTACAAATACAATTGTTTATTCTATTTTAGTGTGTGTGTGTGTATGTGTCATTGGGTTGGCACATACACAGGATAAGCAGCAGATGAATTTTATTAAGTATTTTATTCATTCGCATGATTGCCGTAACTATTCAATTCAAAAACACCAAAGTACGAGGAAGACAGAACGAACCAGACGTGAGTTTTTATTTTGCACCGTAGAAGCTAGTAGAAGGCACCACACGGGAGGGCATGAGACGGAGGCTCCTGGCTGTAGCCATACAGTCTTGTCCTAGAGACGGATGTCAACAGACTGTTCAGGGGGCAGAAACCTTGCAAAGCAGCGGGGCCGGACTCTGTTCACAGACATTTTTAACACCTCACTGGAGTCATGCCATGTGCCAGCCTGCTTCAAAGCCTCCACCATCATCCCTGTCCCCAAAAAACAAAGGACCACAGGACTAAAGGACTTCAGACCCATCGCCCTGACCTCTGTGGTTATGAAGTCCTTTGAGCGCCTTGTGTTGTCCCACCTAAAATCCATCACTGACCCACTCCTGGACCCCCTGCAGTTCGCCTACAGAACCAACAGGTCTGTAGATGATGCAGTAAACATGGCCCTTCACTACATCCTCCAGCACCTGGACTCCCCAGGAACCTACGCCAGGATCCTGTTTGTGGATTTCAGCTCTGCTTTTAACACCATCATCCCGGCCCTGCTGCAGGACAAGCTCTCCCAGCTGAGCGTGCTTGACTCCACCTGCAGGTAGATCCCAGACTTCCTGACGCACAGGAAGCAGCACGTGAAGCTGGGAAAACACGTCTCTGATTCCAGGACCATAAGCACCTGATCCCCTCAAGGCTGTGTTCTTTCCCCCCTTCTCTTCTCCCTGTACACCAACAGCTGCACCTCCAGTCACCAGTCTGTCAATCTCCTGAAGTTTGCGGACGACACCACCCTCATTGGGCTCATCTCTGGTGGGGATGAGTCTGCCTACAGGTGGGACCTGGTGCAGCCAGAACAGTCTGGAGCTCAACGCTCTGAAGACAGTGGAGATGGTCATGGACTTTAGAAAGAGCCCAGCCCCACCCTCCCTCATCATCCTAAGTGACTCCCCCGTCGCCACTGCGGACTCTCACCTCATTTACATTTACATTCACCTCCCAGGACCTCAAGTGGGAGCTGAACATCACCTCCATCACCAAGAAGGCCCAGCAGAGGATGTACTTCCTGCGGCAGCTGAAGAAGTTCAGCCTGCCAAAGACAATGATGGTGCACTTCTACACCGCCATCATTGAGTCCATCCTCACCTCCTCCATCACCATCTGGTACGCTGCTACCACTGCCAGGGACAGGGGCAGGCTGCAGCGCATCATTCACTCTGCAGAGAAGGTGATTGCAGCCTATCTTCCATCACTTCAGTACCTGTACGCCTCCAGGACTCTGAGGCGAGCAGGAAAGATTGCAGCTGACTCCTCCCATCCTGGACACAAACTGCTTCAGACTCTCTCCTCTGGCAGGAGGCTGCGGTCCATCAGAACCAAAACCTCTCACCACAAAAAAAAGCTTCTAACCGTCTGCAGCCTCATCAACAAGGCCCGGGCCCCGCTGACACCCCCCCCCCCCTCCCCCCCTTCAAATAATACATTTACAGTCGTCTCTGCGCATGTTAATATCACTTCATGTCATATCATGAATAAACCTGTTAATTTGTTGTTAATTGTAAATTGTTGTTGTTCCATTTTTATTTTTTATATTGTATTATATTATATTTTTTTTCTCTATTCTTATGTTATTCATATATAACTTGCATTTGTTTATTACATATTTATATATTTCTACATCATGTATGTCAGCTGTATGTCTGTCTGCGTGTAGCACCTTATCACCAAAGCAAATTCCTTGTATGTGTAAAACACTACTTAGCAATAAAGCTCCTTCTGATTCGGATTCTTCTCTTACACTGTTGCACACAAAGTGATTGCGAGTTTTTCCTTGCACTTTTTTTTACTCAGTAATGGATGTGATTGAAAATGTAGCGAAGTACAATACTTTTAGCAAAACATACTTAAGTAAAACTAAAATTACAGAAAACTACTTTAAAAAGTACACAAAAAAGCCTACTCAATTACAGTAACGTGAGTAATTGTAATTTGTTACTTTCCACCTCTGATAGTTAAATGGTTTCTTTTATTGTTTGGTTTAACCGTGTTAATTGTTGTTTTATGATCAGGAGTCTCCACAGGGTGTTTTGTTTTTAAGGGCCGTGGCCACCAAAGCGTTTTTTGCCAGCTGAGCCACAGCCGCCCGCCATAGAGATACATGGCCTCTATGGAGGGGCGGGACAAATACCACACCGAAGCAACGGTTACTAAACTGGAACCGAGCTTCGTCCTCTTGGACTAAACGGTGGTACTCGCCAGCTGCTGTTCTGAAAACACCCAGCAGGGAGCGCTAGTGGGCGTTTTTGAGGCGCAGCATTTTTTTCCCACTGCTTTGGTTGCTATGATACATTTGTTGCAAGTAGTTCTAGCTAAGTTTACTGAATGTAATAATGTCAACACAGAGTAGAGTAGACTACTTGTTCTGGCTCTTGCTCTGTATAAAGAGAAGGCTGAAGCAGGTAGAGAGAGAGGATGGACTGGCCTTATGTGGGTTCATGATTTTGTGGGCAAAGAAACATCTCGGCGAGTACCACCGTTTAGTCCAAGAGGACGAAGCTCGGTTCCAGGTTAGTAACCGTTGCTTCGGTGTGGTATTTGTCCCGCCCCTCCATAGAGGCCATGTATCTCTATGGCGGGCGGCTGTGGCTCAGGAGGTAGAATGGGGTTGGCTGTTAATCAGAAGGTCGGCGGTTCAATCCCGGCTCCCCCAGGCTGCATGCCAAAGGTGTCCTTGGGCAAGATACTGAACCCCGAATTGTGTATGAATGTGTGTTAATTTTAGTTTCTGTTTGAGCACTATGTGTGTGAATGGTGAATGCAGATGTAGTGTAAAAGCGCTTTGAGTGGTCGAAAAAACTAGAAAGGCGCTATACAAATACGGAGCATTTACATTTACTGTGATTGGACAGCTGAGTAAAAAGTGACGAGTGCAGCGTTTTTCCCAAAGTTGAACATTTTTCAACTCTCGGCGACCGTAAAGAAACGCTCAGCGCCCAGCATGGAAAAAACTCTCAGCACCTCGTCACACTGCTGCCATTGAATAGACATGCTGAAGCAGTGGACTGTATGAGTAAAATAATGTTTTTTTAGCATTAAATGTACTTAAACAGTTTCTAGTAGACACCCAAAATAAAAGTATAAACGTGAAAAAGAGCATAATACGGGACCTTTAAATGTAAGTATGCAGCATTTTATTTGAATCTGGAAAAATATGTCAAAGAAGCTTCTTTTCACAAAACAAGTTTATAGTCCACACTATACACAAACCACCAAATACATGTATGTACAAGTACATACTTAAAAAGTAGAAGCAGCAGCTGAATTGAGTAAGTACATGCAGTTGGTGGTTGAGGCAGGAAAATGGCATGAGATTTAGCTCGAAGCTTGGGGAGCTTTGTCAGTTAAGCCCTGCCCCCTGTGGCTTTTCCAGCTATGCTTGAAACCATTCATCACTGTGGGAGGAAAAGCCAAAGAGCTATATATTAATTTACTGACGCAGCTTCAGTAAATCTTTGCAAGATCCTTCATCATGCACTTATGGGGCTTGCTGAGTCTGTAATTATTTCTGTAAAAAAGGCAGCAGCTGGTCCTTTGCAGAAAGGACTTATGTGTGAGCTTCCACAAAAGAGGCCTGGCCTTTTATCAGCAGGCAATAAAAGGGGTTGTCAGACCTGTAGGGCTTGATTTATATTACATAGCTTCTGTTCTGTTGTTCTTTAGCTGTAATGATCAGGAGCATAAAGCTGCCTGCCCACTCTGAGTGGACATTATTTCACGCCATTACAAATGTATAAAACCCTGAGTTATCGTTTAATGTGTCTATTAGCTCATGTGTGGGTCTCTTTCAGCTCTGGTCACTTTGCAGAGCACAACCTCACCTGTTCTTGTGACCATGAGGCTGTATATCACAGAACATGAACTAAAGAGAGAATAATGATGACCCCATAAAGATGAAACAACAATGGAAGAAGTTAATTCAGGGTTGTTCTGCATCACACATGGGTGGTTGGGCTTAGGATACAGGTTCACCAGAAGCCCTCCCAAAATGCTTTGTGTCTCAGCCTTTATAAACTGAATCAAATTAGATTGCTTTTTCCTGTTCTTTAACAGTGTTTGTTTCATTTTACATTTTTCCTTTCCAGGAGAAAGGACTTTAGAGTAGACGTTTTATGATCAGAGAAGTGCAGGAGTTTAGTTCTTTACCAGCACTATGACAAATACTAACTTCGGTGCTAACAGTAAATTCAGTTTCCTCAGTAGCATTCTCAGGACCTGCTTCCTAGAACTGCCCACTACCTTGTGTGCCACCAACTTTAGCTCTGTCCTCACATTGCATCCCTCTTTTTCCCTCGCAGGTTGATCTCTTTATTGCATTCCTCACTCCCTTTCTGTCCTCTCTCTTTCTCTTAGGATCCTGAAGGAGGCAGCACTAGTGGCAAAGGACACAGTTGTATGTGCCTTTCATAAGGAAAACATGGAGTGGTGCCTGTGTGTCTGGAGGGGCTGGGGCTGCCACGAGCTGGAGGTCTTCTACCAGTCCTACGAGGAGCTGAGCCACTTGGAGACCAGCATAAGGAAAAGAAAGTAGCTGTTGTGCTGCGACGGCAAGGTGCAGAATTGCAGCTCTGTATGGAGGATGACCCGAAGGGAATACACACAGACACTCTGCCAGTTCTCAGAGCGAACACGGACATCAGGTCATTTTCATATTTAGTGCTGTATGGTATTTTTGGCCCCTGTTTGATATGAGTGGGATTCAGTTCAAGATGTGGTGGATTCTGCCTCCAACTGCTGCAGTCCATTGTGTATCCTTTGTCTGTCCAATTCAGTTTCCCTTCATTTAACTATTCCAATCTGCCCTCTGGAGGTGACACTCAATGTGGACATTCGTAAAGGAAAAGGGTTAATTGGTATTAACAGCAATGTTCTTGAAACAAACAGCTGGTTGTGGATTGGTGGATGCAGTAGATGTGTACAGAGACATCATTATCTGTATCTGTTTAACCAACAAAATGATCTGTCTTTATATCTGTATTCAGATAGAGGGCCCAATGTGGGTATGGTTTATAAAGGAAGCCATGTTAAATCACATGTTGTATTTTCTAACCTCATATACACTGGCAATGGAATTGTTTTGCCTTTAAAGCATCAACTTGATAATATAATAATACATCCTACACTTTTCATCTCTCTCTCTCTCTTTTATTTTTTTATTTTTAGCCAAACAAACTGTCTGAACCCTCCACCACCAAACCTTTAACTGGGAGACATTGAACAACCAGAAACTGAAGAACAATGTTTTCTAAATTAACTATATAGAACCATATCCTTCAGTTGAGGGGAATAATTTTAAATTCCAATGGGCTTCAATCACATTAAATGTCAATCCAACAACACTAGTAGAACAACATGGCGCCACCGAGCCATGATGTCCAAACAATCTGCATAGACCGATTTTGCAGCCTGTGCATAGAACTGAGTTATAAGTATACAACAGCCTTCTTCTGTACAGCATCACTACAGTTAACCAGAAAATCACCAAACAAATCACCAACAATAAATAAAAAGAGCTGAGGATACTGTGGCAGGTGCAACAAGCAATATTAGGTTACAGAAATGAAATAAAACATAAGCAATGCAAATAAAACAGAGGTGTATGAAAAATATAAAGTCCACAGCGGCTCCAGCCACAAACACACATATCAAAGCAGAGAGAGCGGCGCAGTTTTCACACATTGTGACAGATGCACACTGCACTGTGGTACACAGGGAACACAGTCATTGTACTCACCTGTCTAAATGTCATTCTGTTTATATTATGGCCAATCCTCTCAGCCTCTGGGTCCAAATATAACCAGTCCACCTCTTTGTCCCACTAAAACCAGTCTGCTTAGCCTACTGCTGACAAACTGCTAGGCCTGGCCCGGGAGAGACTGCATGTATCCCCCAACACTGGCCAGTGGAGCTGGGGTAGAAGAAATATGCATTTTCATTCCATTATTTATGCTTTCCTAAATAACGGCACTGACACTTTCACACACTTGTCCTCTCTCATCCAGTATATTTTAGCTTTGGCATATGAATCTGCATGCCAGCTGCAGCTCCAATTGTTACCAAAGTGGCCTGGAAGCAAAAAATGAACATCTGTGTTCTGTGTTATGCAACAGACCAGTGGTTCCCAGCTTGTGCCAATAAAAACCTAATACTTTTGACGGATAAAAGACCACAATGGTTTAAATGATTCTGGCATAAGCCTCCACTGTGAGTTACTTGCTCGACTGTGTTCCACTAGTATCTGTACCTCAAAAAGAATAAAAAATAAAGATGAAACCACTTTTATTTAAGTAGTAGTTTCCTCTGTAGAAGACAACATTGGATTGTTCAGTATAACTATGGTGGACATTGCTTCTTTAGCCTTATTTATTAAAACAGCATGCTGTGATAAATCCTCTCAGCTGCAGTTTGTTTGGTTGGGCTGTAAACACCAGTAGACCAGTCCCTATTCGGTTTGATTTCTGACAGACTAGCTGCTGGAACTTGTATTATTAAAATACTCGGCCATTACTACCAGTAACCATGGGGTGTCACCAAATCAGCCAGGACACCTGCAGGCGGACTGGATTATGCTCTGACAACTGCGGCGTTTACCAGCGGGAGGAGCTCAGAGTTGACTTTTATTAAATTAACTGTTTATTTAATTTATGGGATTAAAACATTGATTTATCTACACATCTGCGCTTCTCAGCAGCAAGCAACCATGTGTTTCTGACTTCCACTGTTGTTGTTGCCGTCTGTGGGCACCAAGAGCTCTGTGATACTACTTCATATTTATATAAAAAATGGACAAAACTGGACATTTCTCGGAGAAAATAAGGCGAGGAAGTTGATCTACCTGGTGAGTTCAGAATTCCAGCTATCGTTGTACTTTACTGTAAACAAGTTAGCATAGCATAGCCCCGATCGATCCAAACTCATCCAAACATTTGAAAAGTTGTTGACCTGCTGTCTTGCTGACAGCCCCGACAAAGCATGAATTTATATATTGTAACAAATCGGCATCATGTTGTAGTTTTTTCCACTATTGTTTTGATCTGTTTATTGTAATTAAATCATTTCATACCACTGTAGTAATTACGGGTTGTGTTTATTCGTATTTTCACTAGCAAGGACCACAATCAGGTGTGATTAAATGATTTATTGAGTAACAAGCAGAAGATGTATGAAGCTTGCAGTAGCTGAATAGACATTAGAAAGCGTTGTGGGGAAGCTACGATAGGGAAATCCGCCGTAGCACCTGGGCACGACGGACCCCCAAAACCAGAATTGAGTAGCTGCTAGACCGGTCTCAGACGATCTCGCATGGTTGTGCGCTGGATTTCCCTAGTTCACGAGGGTCTTAGAGGGTTCAGAGATGACTAGACTTTGAAGAAAAGATGAAAGTAAGCTGCCCCAATTGACTGGACTTCAGATCGCTTTGGTAGAAAGAATATAGAACCATATCCTTCAGTTGAGGCGAATAATCTTAAATTCCAATGGGCTTCAATCACATTAAATGACTCAATTGCGGGCATGAGATGCAGTGAAATGAAACTGAAGAGAGCGAGCGTGGACGTGACGGCTAAGGTTCAAGTCAAGTGAGGGATGCTGTAACTGGCGCAGATGGTGTGGATGCAGACCGGACGGAGATTCTGCTGTAAGAGAAAGGCTGCCGGGGTCTTGTCTCTTGACGTTGAGTGCCTCTAAGAAGTTGGGTTATCCGGGAATGCGTTTGGAAGCCAATGCTTCCGCTAAGATGGACTTCAGTGGAGTGCGTTTTGTTGCCACTGTGGGCGTGTTGGTGAAATGAGAAGTGGTGACGAGATTGAATGACGGGGAGGTCATGTTGGGCTTGTTGTGACGGTGGCTCAGTTCTTTGAAGCAAACCTGTAACCCAAGAGAGGGCTATGCTGTTGGCTGGCTATGCGGTAGTAGAGTTTCGGGGAGCATTTTAGCAATTAGTCTTCTTTGTAGAACCCCCAAAAACCTGCAGAATATGTGGCGGCGGTGTACGATTGGTTTCTTGGGGTGTCGTGGTTGTTTGTGAAAAGTTGAACCGGTCCTGTTGGCGAAGGTTGAGCCAAAGCGAGGAGGAAGTGGTGATTGAATGCTGATTGCATGGGCTTTCAATCCAGATTAATGTGTGAGGTGGATTGTGTCGAGAGTGAATCCTAGAAATCTAGGGTCTTGGGAACACCTGCTGTTTCTATGCAGACCTTGGAACCCGGAGGTTGGAGAAACCAGAGAGCTTGGAGCGGCGGCAATGGGTTAGAATGAGACCGGGAACCGCTTGGGGGGCATGTTGGGGTTGCGTGGTCGAGTGGACCCTGGTTACACCACTGAAGCAAGCTGTGGCTTGGGAGCAGTCTGGATTTTTGGTAAACCTGTGCCTCTGACTTGGGGACCGAATCTAGGATAATGGCCATGTAATCGTTTTAGTGTATGGAGAAGGTGGACGCAACTTAGAACGAGATATCGTGTAGTTTACAATGTGTTTGAGTAAACTAGTGAGATGAAGAACGGGAGATGGAGATGAAGAACGGGAGATGAAGAATTAGGATTATGAATGACTTCGCTTGTAATGATTAAGAACTCGAAAGAACTGTACTTGAGTGGTTAGCTTGTGTGCTGCTAGCATCATTTATAACAGAACTGGAGATTGCTATTGAAAGATAAGCGAAGAAGTGAAGCATGAAGTTCCTGTCCTTTGAATCGATTTCCATCAATGATTTTTTGGATGGTTCTGTGTAATGGACCATTTTGTGCGGTCAGGTTAGTGGTTGATGGGAACAGACGGTGGGCATCCTGGTGCCTAATGCCCCTACTGAGGCTGCTGAGGTTGTTCGAGGTGTACAACTGGGCGCTAGCATCTCGGTGCTGGGGCCCCCTATGGAACTGGCTGCTGTAGCTGCTGGACGTGTCCAGCTGTGGCACCTAATGAAGCCTGCTGCTGTGGTAGGTAGATGTAGACGCCTGGGGTGCTGGCATATCCCAGTACTGGGTACCTGAAGCTTCGGGAGCTGGATGGCAGGGTGCTGATGACTCGATGTGGTTGTCCTGTGTGATGTAGGCTGCTGGTGCGGTCAACCCCGATGAGAGGTGGAGGCTTGGAATTCTGGTGGTGGTTGACGTCCTGTTTTGCTTTGGTACCGACTTCTCTGCTATCTTGAGATGGAGGTAATATGTGAACTGTCCCTTTAACAGTGGCGCTGACGTCACGGCGTGCGTAATGCGCCACCTGGAAAGGAGCTGGTGTTGACGGAACTGAATGCATGGCACGCTGACATGATAGCTTAAAAAGTTTGCTGTATTGTCTGTTCTCTAAATCGGAATTGTTACATTTATAACCGTTTTCTGAAGAGTGGCTATAGTTCGTGTCTTGATTGTTCGTGAAGACTGTTTGACCCAGGACCTTGCTGGCGCATGGAAACGCTGTGATCAGCTGTTTGATGAGAGGCAGGGGATTCTTCGGGTGCAATGTTTCAGATTGTTGAGGAAAGTGGACCGTGGAAGGTGGATGGCGTTAAGGCTGGACTCACCCGCTCCCTGGCCGACTTTAGGATTGTAGAAAGCGGGGCCTCAAGCGTGGAGACGGAGGACAGAATTTGGCTTCTGGTGCTGGGATTGCTGACGTGAACATGGAAGATGTCTCGAGTCCGTCCGAATAATTCAGCGTTCGATGGGGATAGCAATGTGCCGACACTTCTCGAAGAGGTAAGTGTATGGAAGTAGCTGGTAATAATTCGCATTATCGGATGTTAGCGTAGTGTGCTCCACGCGATGTTGCTTGGTCTTGGTTCGTCTGCGAAATGCGAGGGCCATGCAGGATACGAGGGCGAAGGGGAGGACTTAGGACGTGTGGGTATTTATGGAAATGCTGGCGATGACTTGCTTGATGTGTGGTCCCGCTCCTGAAACTCTGCTAATTAGCACCACATCGCATTATGTGTCTCGGCAGTAGTCCAGCAAGAAAAGCGATGCAAGGATTAAATTTGCATTCGGTCTTAAAGCACAGTTAGAAAGTTAAATTTACTTCAGCTCCAATGAGGCTTTGGCAGTGTGTCAGTAGCTTATCATGGGTATGTTGTTGTTTAAAATTAACAAAATAATATTTTTTCTTGGTTAAAATGACAAGGCACTCGAGTTTCAGGATGTCTTGGATGAGTGAAAGATGTGGCTTGCTCCGGAGCTAGTTTACAATGGTATTAAATGAACTTATTGGAAAAAATAGACTTCTGGCTAAATCTGGCATATTTACATTGATGCAAAGCTGAAATGTTCATTAATGTGCACTGTCCCTTTTGAATAAATAAATAAACAGCCAACTCCTAATAAGCTTTTTTTTAATTGCCGCTGGTTAAATCTACACAGAGCAGCAGACACGAGTCACCTCTATCTTGATTGACAGGTCGCTATGTTAGCGATTTGTCAATCACAAGGTAGCCCTAAAGCCTTCACTGTTTATCGTCTATTTTCCCCAAAATGGGACCATAATTTACAAAATGTTTATCATTTGCTCTTTTGTATCAAACCCGATTCCTCTATAGAACAGAATTGTTTCACTTGATTAATTTTTTTCAGAAGATATTCCACATTATGTACTTAAACTTCATGGGTGGCAATAATGGTGAGCAGGACTGTACATGACACCACTGAGAACAGGGCTTTGGGTGAAGCATTTTTTAAATAAACAATGAAAAGCTGTCAGTCACAGTGGAAAGGCTGAGGACCAATCAGACCTTTCATTTTATCTTTCCAGCCAAATCATTTTGTTGACTTAAATTGGCACATTGAATATCTACTGTGGCCAGGAAAGAACTGTATGTTGTCCATAACAGCCTTGTATAAAGAAGTTATTTATTATTTCATTATCAAAATGAAAGTGTATTGCAATGGAAGTTGTTGTGTACATAATCACTGTATAATATGAAAGTGAATAAAGTTCTTATGATAACTCTTCAGATTTGAAAATTGTGTCCCTTAATCATTGACACAGATGAGAACTTCACAAATCTGTCCTACTACATTCATACTCAGCACACTCTTGAATAGCGAGAAAGAGACGTCTGATGAGGTGATGATGACAGATGGGCTAAGGAAGCTGATAACAAGGCTCCAGCTTGGTATGAGGAAGAAAAGAAGCTGCTTCCTGCTCAGAGATCTGGCAAAGCCTTCTGCTAAATGGTTGGGAAAATCCCTTTTTCAACCTGTTTTTATGTGTAACAAAATCATGTATTTGGCTCACAGCAGTAATCTGTAACATATCTGAAAGCCTAGTTTACTATATCAGGTGAAGATATTAAAGTGGTAATCCAATAATTTAGTATTTGACTATCTACAAAGTTGAGGGACTTAAAGAGAGCTTGAGATATTGTTTCTTTCAGTCCCTAGTAAAGTCAATCTCAAAAAAAACATTTGATACTACTATTCCCATAATGCAATGTGTTAGTGTCTCTCATTAGACCCTCCATGTTTATAACAAGTTCTCCAAACTAAACAAAATATGTTTGTCATGTTATGAACAAAAAATCTAACTCAAGGTCCATTTGTGAAGGACATTCTTGTGAGCTAGTCAACTCTTACTGAGTTTACGTAAACTCCGGAAGATTTGCCATCATTTTAAAGCGACGTCAATTAAATATGATGTGTTGCACAGCTGCATCATCTGTCCACTGTTAGAGCTGTGATCTCTGTCAGAGCAGAGAGCAGCTTTTGGCACTAAAAGCTACAGATCATTTCTTCACAATCCAGAAACATGTCTGTCAACATTATAACATGTAGAAACATCTCGAGGTTCCAATAAACATTATAGGGGTAAACCAGGGTGAAAGTAACAAGGCGATTTTCTCAGAGCCCTGACTGCATTTGCAGTCCAAGCTGTGACAGCACCTTCAGCACGCAACCCTTGATGGAGCTGCCAAATATCGCATGATTTTGTCATCGTTTCCCGCGGCCGTCTTCAGAAAACTGTTTTCGAGCACGGCAAGTAAATTTCTGAAGCGGGACTCTTTTTCGAATTACAAGTTGTGTCTCTCGTTTCACGTGTCACAGTAAGGATTAATCTGCAGGTTATTTAGTGCTTTAACACACTCTGAAGTTTGCCCTGTCAGAGTTTTTCAGTATAACAATAAATTGTGTTAATTTGTCAGGAGTTCCTGTGACAAGTGTTTCTTTTGCCCCGCTGCTAATGTGGTGACTTTCTGTGTGTTGCAGCATTTATGTCATATTATACCAACAGAATATGCCAATAGCGTGGGTCAGAAAGACAGAGGTCTGATTCAGCCAGAAGGCGTTTCTGGACATCTCTATTAGAAACATTAGTCTCAGGTCAGCTGATAAAGTCTTTCTTTGTTCAGATAATGTAGGAGGAGGCCAGAGATAATTGGGGAGAAGACTAGACCACAGGTACAGATCACATTATTAAGTCTTCTCCTTGGACTAGGAGAGGAAGCTGCATGCTTATATTAAGAGAGCGGCTGATATTCTCCTAATGAGCTCAGTGCAGTAGGTGTCAATGCAGATCACTCATACTGTTCTTACTAAAACATTTCAAAATGTGAAATTTATATAAGCCTATTCTGTATATAGCTTTTAAATTTTTATCTTAATTTTATTGTTTATTTTCATTTTTGTCCTATCTCTTTAAATTATGTTTCATTTTTTCGCTGTTGCACTGCTGCAACATGCAAATTTTCCCAGCGCAGGATCAGTAAAGTCTTATTTTATTTTAATCATTTCAGGTTCATAAACAATCTCCATCTAACCATTTCCCCCTGTTTTATGTGCACACATTTGCATATTTATATTATATATTATAATATATCCTTAATATAATATGAAATATTCTAAACAATTCAAGTTTGGACTGTCAGGTTACTTTTGAAACTGAATATTTAAAATAAAAATGTAATTACATTTTTTTTTAAAGATAAAGGACAAAAGATGTTTGCAGTTAGACATTAACAAGGTCACAGTCATGTTTAATTATTAAATACAAGAGTGGTAACACAAAAAAATCTTACTTTTGTTGTTACTTTTGTCCCAGCTGACGGGGTCGAAAGTAACAATGTGCCACTTATGTTTAAAGTGAAATTATACGGAAGTCATTCTACATTTGTAGAAAATACCACCTGATATTGATAGACCACACCTGTGAGTTAGTGACTACAGCAAAAATATATCTCCGTCTAAAACATTACCCTTTAAAATTAAATAAATGGTTAAAACGCAGACAAAAAGCATTTAGGTCTATAGAAAACATGCGACACAAGGCAAAGGTTGTGCTGAAAAGTTAAGGGAGAAAAAAAAAGTTTGCTTGAGGAGGATGCAGCAAAGCGCCTCATTATTAGGCTACAGACTTTTCTTTAGTGCTGCTGTTACTTATAGCCTACTTGAAGACAGTAGGCTACTGGGGACGCCAGCAGCAGGGGCTGGTAGTAGCCTAACCTGTTACAAGTAGCTGAACGCAAATTTGCTAAATAAATAAATAAAATAATATATGTCATTGGCACCTCCTTTTACACGTTCCTTTTTAAAACTGTAGCCTACATTTACTCTTTACTCTGTATTTTCTTTGGGCCAATCTGCTTTTAATTTCGCTACAGTTTTCATTCATACCTTCATAACTTCAACCGTCTGTAATCTGCATTGGGCTTCATTAACCAAAGGGAGCTGGCATCCAGGCTGTGTGCCGTTAGGCAGATCAGCCCTGGTCTTGGACGTTTGTCACAGTCACAGAGCTGGGCAGATGCAATCATTTAGAAAATCAGGCAAACACCTTTTCAGTTTTTATTTCACCTTTATTGTTCTAATAATACAACTGAAATCCAGTGAGCGCACACCATGGCATGGCTGATATGGTGAACATGAGACCGACAGCACAGTCCAAAGCACCAGTTTATGGTAAGATTGATGATGATATGGCTAATTCAGCGTCCCCCCTGGTTCAAAGTCGCTCCTACACCCCTGCTTCACACCACTGAGATGTGGTAGAAAGCAAACCACTCTTGGACTTCCCTCTGCTAGCCTAGTTCCCTCAGTTGTCACAGAGATCATTCACTCATCAGAGCTAAATATGAAACTTTGGTAACGGGGCTTACAGGTGGTTGTAACCCCTGTCTCTGTTAAAGCTAGTCACTGGACTTTGAGTTAAGATTTTTTAATTATTGTTTCGAAGGTCGAGAATGAACTTTCACGCTGGAATCTTCAAACACCGTTAGAAAATGTCTTATAAAAATGATTCATATAAGCATTTTCTTCCCTGACCCTTTCCATAACACCCTTACTGGTGATACACTGTCAAGCTACACTATATTGCCAAAAGTTTTGGGACACGTACCTTTACATGCACATGAAGGTTAATGACATCCCATTCTTAATCCGTAGGGTTTAATATGGAGTTTGCCCAGCCTTTACTATAGCTATAACAGCTTAAACTCTTCTGGGAAGGCTTTCCACAAGGTTTAGGAGTGTGTTCATAGGAATTGTTGACCATTCTTCTAGAAGCGCATTTGTGAGGTCATGCACAGATGTTGGAGGAGAAGGCCTGGCTCACAGTCTGATTACACATGGCTCCAATGGCGGTAGGGTCCTTTAAAGTTCTGGAATAAAAAGTTTGTTTTTGTTTGAAACTTTTATTTCTAAGCAAGCAGTTTAATAACTAAGTTAAAATTGGCTGAATAAATCAGTTGAGAGACCCAACTTTGTAAACCCCACCTAAAAAATTAGGAGAGGCCCCTCTCACCCCTTCCAAAAGACGCAAAATTGTTTAGTTTGCCCTGCATTAGGATTCATCTAAAGCCGCATTTCAACCAAAGCAACTTTACCCTGGAGCTAGGAGCCAAAGTTGTTATAGGTTTTCACTTGTCAGAAAGTCTCCTCCTCTCCAAAGCAAGCGGAACAACTGATTACAGCAGGTAATAAAGCTTGTTAACCAGCCCGTTCCTCTGACACTCAGGCCAACACAGACGTGATGCTGCCAGCTGATCTGCAGCTTTTGTCGGCTGGAAATGTTTTAATAACCTTCCAAACTGTTGTGATTTTATTTTTCTGTTTCTTTCTCTGTGCGGGAGTTATTTTATGAACTTGATGGTTTTGTCCAGTTTGTTATTAAATTTGTAACAATCTTTATCGTGTGTCTCTTCATTATACTCCCACACAAAAAAGCTGTTTTTAATGGTCAAGCAAAGTTTTTCATTATATTCCAGTCAAATCTGACATTAATTTATAAATTTTGCTCATGGATAGTAGTTACAAATAATGATGCCCGTGTATGACGTATAGGCCTACAGCCTACGTCAGCTATTTAATTTGCCTAATATTCCCAGGTCTTTAGACCACGGTAGAAACGCACACAACAGTGGGCTGAAGGAAGCTTTTAGTTCTTTGAAAAGAGATCCGGAGGTTCAAAAGTCCCTGGTACTTTTGGTCGAAACACGGTTTAAACGGTCAACTCGTGACAGTCATATCTGTCCCAGAGAAAGAGAAATCAAGGTAACAAAAGAGAAAAGGCTGTTGAGGGCAGTGGTGGCCCAAAGGTTAGAGAAGCGAGCTTGTAACCGGCCGGTTCAATCCCTGGACCGGCAGGATAAAATCTGGGTGTGGAAAGGGGCAGTGCTTGCCCTCCCTCATTTACCACCACTGAGGTGCCCTTGAGCAAGGCCCATACTCCCATGCCCCAAGCTGTTTAGTGGCCAGCAGACCAGGCTGCAGTTGTAGTGGGCAGCTTCCAGGTGTGAGTGTGTAACAGTAAAAAAGAAAGATAAAGAAAACAAAGTGAAGGAAAACGGCTGCCAACTAATTTCATTCAAAAGAAAGAGGAGCACAATCACAACAAGCAGTTGAAGAATGGTTATCATCAACACACATCAGGCCTGCCAAAGCTTTCCATCCTGCCCGTAAAATGACAGCTAAGTTACTCGCTTTCGCTTCCGGCCCATGGGACCTTATTTCGGAGTTTGGTTTTTATGGTA